GCAAATATTTCAATATTAACATGAGCAGAGTGGAATAAAGAAAGTGTTTAGCAGGATTGATATTCAAAACGGTAAACACGCACTGCATTGTTTACGGTGTGTAGCTTATCTGCAGCATCAGTTTCCCTTTTTGAATGACGAATATAGTTGCCTCATTTAAACGCCGGCGCAGAACGCGCATGCTAGCTAACAATCGGCAGTAGTTCTCTCGGTGTGTTCAAGTGCAGCTTTTCCCCGATGCGAGGCGACAACACAGTCGGCTTTCATCCGCGCTAGTTCGTCGGCGTCGGCTCGGTGTGTTCCAGGCTTAAAGACCTCTCGCCATTTTATCTGGCACACGACTCCCGCTCTACTCAAGCCAATCAGATAACCGCCACATTTGCGCTGACCAATCGTAACACGTTCTCTCTTCAACCAATCACGTTTTGCTTGATAATCAGGGCAGGAACATAATTCATTTTGCACTCCTCAAAGGAACTGCATTCTATGCAAGCTTCTTTCCGCCACGGAATACAACATTTTAAAAGATGATTGCGACTTTTTATCTCACAATTGCGAGTTTACAATTTCTCAATTCTGATATCTTTTCTCAGGAATTTCGTGATATAAAATCACAATTCTGACTTTTTTCCTCGCAATTCAGAGTTTATATCTTCCAATTCTGACTTTATAACGCACAATTGTGAGTTTATATCTCGCAATTCTGAATTTTTTCATCTTTTCTCAGAATTGTGAGATACAAACTCACAATTGTGAGAGAAAAAAGTCAGAATTGTCGGATGAAAAGTCACAATGACCTTTTTTATTTTTTATTCTGTGGCGGAAACAAGCTTCCATGGGCGCGTTGTTCAAATTGAGTATTTGTGTGGTCAAAACAGCCGGTTTCCAAAAGATTGTTGGATTTTAAGGCTTCTTTAAATTTCCATCAGGATCGACTCAGGATTACAAAGGACTAATGATTTGCACATTTGCTTTGACGCGTCCAGTGTAGACCAGCATCAAACTGTTGCGGACGAGACAGTTGCACACGGGATAGACATAATGTAAGACATGGCACAACTGCTGATTTTGCCTTTTAAAGCATTGTGGTGACAAATATAGGACATGTGATGTCAAAAATGACAAATGACCTTCAGTGATGTAACAATATGAGCCTCAACATCACTGAAGTGAAGTCTGCATTTAACCCATCCAACCCAGAGTAGTGACTGACACACACACACACAGTATTGAGAATCAAACCCGCGACCTTCGGGTTACAAGTCTCTAACCATTAGGCCACAACTGCCCCACTTCAGCAAGTACTTGAGTTTTGTGAGTGGATAATGCAAATAATAGGATATTATAACTTGGACATTGTCTTCCCTGATTTCAAAGCAAAACGTGATTGGGTATAGCAAGAACGTCCTCTGATTGGTCAGCGGCGCAATGTGGCCGTTATCTGATTGGCAATACACTTTGCGTATGTATACAGGCAGGAGCCATCTTGGAGAACAGTCTCGACCAGTCGAACCACGAACGCCGTGATAAGTGAGCTGGTCGATCGGAATTACATTTGTGAAATCTAATTACATGGAAATGCATGCATTATATCTGTTTATTAAAATATATGTGTGACTAACTACAAGGGAAAAAGCGGTCCCATACTTTCATATGAGATTACAAGTCATAGTTCAGCTCACTTATCACGGCGTTCGTGGTTCGACTGGTCGAGGCTGTTCTCCAAGATGGCTCCTGCCTGTATACGCGAAGTGGACTGTCTTTATAAAGTATCTTCTTATTAAACTGTCCGTACACTTACACAGTTCTCAATACTTCGGTTTGCATGTAGGGACCCTCATTATGCTAGCGTGTTAGTGTGGGGCTATTTTGAGCCTTATTAGTGGAATTAACTGGCGATTTCTTTTTACTTATTCTATGCCCTATAGACTAGCGTTATAAACCATTTTTAGAGATAAAACTCTTTACATTCGATTATCATGAAAACAAATCCCAGAGAACAGTTGACTCGGTACCAATGTGTTATTAGACCAAAAGGTTTATTTTGCGCTGGAGTTGTCCTTTAAGTGGTTCAACTAACTGCATTAATATAAATTCAAACTTTAATAACATTTGTAAATAACATGGAATTAAGTGTACTTCTTTTCACATAGCTTGCCACGATATAAGGCACTATACGTATACCACTTTCATTGAATACTAACATTAAATACTGGGGGACAATAATGTAAAGCTGTCAAAACGGAGCCCGGATTCAGTCCACTGAAGTCAAGGGAAGTTTAAAATGCAGTAAACGTGATGTGGAAATGAGTAAGCATAGAATCAACAAATGAAATGCCTAAGGCTTTTTGTCGGAGAGTATTATTCACCTGCTCTGCATATGTGACATCAACATCAACTCCTTTTTCGACACACAACACTATTAAGTATTAAACAGGAACATCTGTCAAACACAGATTTGTGTTATTCATGGGAAGCCAAAATGTGTAATTTCAACTTTTAAGAATATTTTAGTATGAATTGCCCCCCATTTGATGTTTTCTTTTTCCATACGGCTCCCTAAACATGTGTTAACGCACATATTCTGTACTCTGAACACATTGCGTCACCAGTAAATACATCTGAGACTAATATTATATAGGGTTATGCTAACAACATGAATGAAACAGTCTAACTGTCTCCAATATGTTCACTGACTTCAGGAATTGGTTAGGGAATCTATATTACCATCCCGCCGATTCTCATACTGTGAAGCAAATGATTAATTTAGAGTTCTTGGACAGTTGTTTGGAAAAACAATGTTCTAAAGAGCTGATGTCAAAGAAAATTGATTACTGAGAAACAAACAGTGGTGAATTTAAAGTCCCCCTATAGTTAATCATATTATCCCATGAAACTCATCTATCACCAAAATGACATATTTAAACGTTTTTTTTCCTTGAAAAAAATGTCTAGATGCACTTTTACATGTTGATTGTACTGAAATGTGTGTTGGCAGTGCCTGTATACAACCATCATATAATGATTTAATGAAATAATGATATGATATAATGAAAAACAGTGTTTTTGTTTTAATCTTCTTATATGTTTTCCCCTGCCTCAAATCGAGCCGTTCGACCGTGTGACGTCACTATATCGGACGCCCCTCCCACGATTGTTGATTGACAGCAGCATTTCAACAAAGACCCGCCCTGAGCGAGCTGTCATCATAGTCCACTATTGTTGATGCACTGGAGCAGAATGGTGTCTAAGCGATTGTGGTGTTCTGTTCTTGGGTGCAATAACGAACACAGCAGTCATTTTAATGTTCCTAAATCCGAACCGCTGAAGACGGAGTGGCTGAGTTTTGTTTTCGAAGGGAATATTCCCCACGAGCAACGACAATGCTTTCATGTTTGCGCAATTCGCGAATCTTTTCTCACACCAGACTGCTTTATAAACGAGGGTCCGTGTAAAGCTGGTTTTGCTAAGAAGCTGCTCCTGAAAAAAGAATCGGTACCAACTATTCATGTCCCTGCTGAAGCTCCAGAAGAAGTGAGTGTAAAATTTTATTAACCTTTATATTAACGTTAATCTTTGCAAATCGCTTGCACGCTTCACGATGAATGTGGCTAAGGTTTACACTCAGGGTAAGTTACATTACGGCATGTTTTCTATGTACGACGTTCTCAATATAATTCATAATCCCACGTATATCATGAACAACGCGTTATAGTTATTGTGTTATTACAAACCGAGTACGTATACATCAGTAAACACATATAGCGTTCGTACATCTCACTAAGTTACTCTAACGTTACCCTGCCAGTACACACAAAGATACATCAAAGTGACATTACGTTAATCAACCAATCAGAAACGTCCTGTTCGAGCCTTAATTGTCGAACTTCTTCGCGGCCGTCATCTTGTTCCGGGTCCAGCTCCGGTTCAAAGTGAAACGGTTGCACAGACGTGTCCTCAGAGACTCCCACTGCCATTCTCTCTCCAAAACATACCCTCAACTGTTGTCAAGGCAACACTCCACGCAACAGAGGGGCGGAGTCAGCGAAGCTCATTATCATTTAAAGGCATATGCACTGAAACGGCGTGCTGAAAACAGAGCTGTTTTTGACCAGGTAAAATAAGTGTTTTCTTACAATACTAATAAGAATTTTTAATTAAAGTATTACAAGCTTTTAAGTTAGACCCTAAAGAATCAAATTAACTTGTATGAAAATGGCATTATATGACCCCTTTAAAATATCTTGAATTAAACACGACACCCATGCCTCATTTAGTAGGCTATACGTGGTTCTATGAATATGCAAATGAGCCCCGCCTCCACTCACTCGCCCAGCTCAGAGATCCACTCGTTGACGATCACACATTGATCTGATTGGTTACAAGGTCGTTTTTGACGTCAGAAACACCAGCGATTTCAAACTGTGTTTTTTGAGACTGTCTTTGGTTCACTGCAGTTTTAAGGAGAAAATACTCAGCAATGCTGTCGACTTATGAACTTACACATGGTTTGTCTTAAAGCATGTTAAAAACACCACAGAGACATATTTAAACAACATTAAACCTTGATTATCATCGGGGACTTTAACTTTACCCTTTTACTGGTGTTTTAAATGTTAACCGGTTCAAACCATCATATGAAGGTCGATTACCCATTGGTTGTTTACAAGCAAATTATAACTAATTAAATTACACTGGGTGTTAATCCATATTGCCAGTAATTTAGAGAGTTTTAAGGCACTCCTTTTTAATTGTTTTAAGGATTAAAATAATCATTTTTAAATGCCGCAAAACATGGAGAAACTTTAACAAATCTACATTTGTGTAGATAAAACTTGGCTATAATCAACCGGAGCCGTTGAAAAACATATTCATATTTAACGGCTCTGCAATCAAAGTTGTGGGAGCGTTGAGTTTGTGTACGGTTGTCATGGCGACGCTGGCCCTTCCTCCCCCTGAGCCTGTGCGTTCAGTTGCTCCTCCTCACTCCTCAGTCAAGCACTGGTTTTATTAAAGAGTGAATGAGGACAGCGCAGTTTTCCTGCTGTGGATAGATACTGGATACTGTCTGATCAAATATGTCTCACACTGTGACTCTCGCCGGTCCCTCGCCGTGGGGTTTTCGACTGGTGGGTGGACGGGACTTCAGCACACCGCTCACCATCTCCAGAGTACGTCTTTTCTCATTCTTCTCTTTTAATGATGGACTGTTTCTCAACGCGACCCCTTTACAACCGGCGTGCTATTTCATTGTTGTTACGTGACCTTTTGGGTTTACTTCTCTAAATGTGGGTTTACTTCTCTAAATGAACTCGATGAACTTTGTTTTTCTTGTTTGTCGCGTCGATTCGCCTTTACTGTAACGAAGATATTGCAATTTCACTTGAGCTATTATGCTCAGTAAAAAAGAGTTCTTGTTTCTGTCCCGTTAAAATATCAACGCTATCTCCTAAAATTTCTTTGGAGAAATAACAGGAAAAAATGAGACAATAGTTGACAATTATTTGAGCTGTAAAATGTAACGTTATTTGGCCTTTGAACAATTTAAAGGATAAATGTTTGAGTTCAAATTGAGACCTCTCACTTTGTAGACTTTGGTACCTTGCTTGGCATTTTGGCCACAGTTTAGTTTTTTTTTTTTTAAATCAAAATTATTATTATTTTTTAATATGCTGGAGACTTGAGGAGAAGTCTCCATTTAATCTAACTGATGTCTAAGAGAAACATTTGAGATATTAAAGCAATCTTCTGTGTTAATATCACTTTCCTTTGGGCATTGACTTCGATGCTTCTCAAATGAATGAAAAGCTGAATCATGCTCGACAAACCCTATCATTACTGCACATTTGTGGTCAGTAAATGCCTATGTCAGAAGAAGCCTTGCACTTACATTTAGAAAAAATGGCAGCTGGTTTTCACCGATTAATATTTACAGCCAGTCAGGGCTTTATCTGTGGTCATGGGTGTTTAGTCTACTCCAACCAACCTTTCACCCGTCCACATGAATGGATGAAGGTGATAATGGTACAGTTTTCTGGTTGTTTATTGGAACTGCTAATAATTCAGTTTGACATTATCTAACCCCTACAATAGCCTATACAAAACAATTTGGGTTGTTTTTAGCCCAACAGCTGGGTAAATATAAGTCGGAACACATGTTGGGCTAATCTTATACCCATAAAATTGGGTTGTTTATTTAACCAAGCATAATGAGTTGATTTTATTCATTCATTTGTACAATAATACTATCTTATTTTACTTCATAATTGAATTGGTAGCCCTACAGTACTTACAGATTAACTTAATCATCCTTTTTGAAAAATACTCCCAGGGTTTCTGCAGGAAATTTAAGACTTTTTCAAGACCTTTTTAAGACCAAATGAAGACAATTTACTGAATAAATTAAAAGGAAAACACAATACATCAATATGTTCTTTAAATGTCTAGGGAGCAACACGAGTTGCATTAGCAACACTTCAGAGTTTGAAAATACAACATTAAAGAGATATCGATATCCATTACTTTTTCATTCATTTTACAACAAAAGAAAGTATTGAACTGCTCTCATCCACTAGAATATAATTTTTACTTTATCTTCTAATCACACTGCAAAAAAGAGAGGTGTTCTTCCTCAGTATTTTTGTCTCGTTTAGTCGTTTTCCAGTGCAATGTCAATAGATTCTTAAATCAAGACGCAATTACTGGAGAATTGCTGAATTATTGTCTTGTTGCCAATGGAATGTCAAAAAAGTCTTGTTTTATGTAAAACTGATTAAAATGAAGTGATCTTATGCTTAAAACCAGAACAAATATTTGCTAATGACTGACTCCATAACCTGCCCATATACAAACAGTTCACAGTTCTGAGAACATTTTTTTAAATGCGACAGGTGACTTATGTTGCTTTGCACAGTAACGATTTTACACATGACATAAAACATGCTCAAACCTGTATTCCACAGAAGAAATGAACAAATTTGGCTGAGAACCTTTCTCTCCTGAAGAGGATGCAAAAGTTTCTCAACCGCTGGGTAACATAAAAACTACCCAAACACTGAAAAAATAACCCCCGAAAAATGACCCAGCGTTTGAGTTGAGAAAATAACCCTGAGTTTTGGTGCTGAAGAAACATCTGCAACAGTTAAAGATAGCAGCTTGATGCTGAAAGCTGGTGAAAGGCTCATCAGCACCACAGGATTGAGGATGAATCTGGTAAAGTGAAGCTACCGCTGTAAGGCTTGGCTTCGGATATCTTGCATTTACGTCCTATGAAGGCTTCCATCTGGCACTGTGGATCGAGTTCCCAGTAAATGCTGAGATTAAACCTCAGGTTTTGTTAGGGAAAGTGTCTGTTAGGGTTGCAGATGTTAAGTTGCCTGTTGCCAATGGAAAACCTTCAAATGGAAAAGAGGAAAGTTTAAAGTAGGGGTGTAGCGATCCCCTCATGATTCGATACACGACATTGAACTCACGATACGATATTATTGCAATACTCCAAGACATATGATATAAGGGTAACAAAAAAGTAATTGTTGATTAAAATGCTAAATTAGGTGTTACATTGTGTGTGTAAATGAAGAGTCTTGGACTCGGTGCTGAAACCCAAAGCACAGGACAATAGAGACGCCAGAATAACAATATTCATGATTCTGAAGCTGAAAATACTGAATTATTGTAGATGAACATGCTTGAACTCTGTCACTGACTAGATATATTTAAAATAATGTAGGACTTTTTACTGGTAACATCAGACATTTGGCATTATCAGGACCACAAATATTCCCCCTTTGCATATTAGCTATACATTCAACATTATAGTAGTTTAATGTCTGACACTAAAACTCTGAAAACTTTTGCATCGACAGGCCTATATTGTTACATCCCTAGTTTAAACACAATCCAAGATGCAGTTTTTGTAAAATGAATGTAGACATTCAGACAATATAGGAGATAAATTGGGAATATGGAGATATTTTGCTTAATTACGCAGTTACTTGGGATATCCACAACCTTGGACCATTGGTTTGTTGTAAAATGCTTTTGCTTCTAAGCTAATGGGTTGAACAGTTGGTGTTTTCCTGATGAATGTGAAAGTGCTGAGGTAAAAGTTCATTGAATCATTGCCAAGTGCAATACACAACAAATTGTTAGCACTTGTCCGGACCAACTGACAAATGTGGCTATCCATTTACAGGAATTCAGAGAACGGTGCAATGTTTTCACTCTTTGCCAAGTCTTCACTACAAAAATACTGAGAAAATCAGAATCTCTTTTTCATTCCTACGGTAAACTTTAAAGTAGCCTGAACCAGATAGACGTACGCCGTCTTATAAACATATTTACTCTGCTAATCTTCAATGTCTGACTGGTTCCCTCTGGGATTTCACAGGGCTAATTTATTGCATCCAGGGCCTTCCTCTTGTTTTTGCTCTGTAAGGGCATGCAGTAATGCTGGCAGGCTGAAACTCATTGTCCACTTTTGTTCAGCTCCGCATTTATAACACAGACACATTCCAGGAAGCCATGTGACATTATTCAAAATGAGATTAAGTAGTAACTAGGAGTTTCTGAGGCACAGGATTCATCAAAGTTCACAGCGTCATGGGAATGTGTCCAAGCTACACTGTTAAAGTTGAGTGTCTTTTCACATACTTTCTATGGGTGGTCTCAAATGGTGGGTTCTTGGCTGTAATTGGAAAAAAATGGGTTGCTCTGTTCTGACAGGGTCACGGGGAGTAGGAGGGAAAAAAACAATGCAAAAAATCAATCAAACTCTAAGGTATTTCAATGCAAATTGGCAGAGGTCACCATGGACATGTTGTTCCCCCATTCTTGAAAAACAATGACCAAAACTACACAAGTTAGACCAAAATATGTCCCAGTTTGCCGGCCAAAATGAGAGCATGAACCCATCGATTCAATGTTGCGTGGGAAGCAATTTTGTTACTTTGTTGGTACTTGATGTCCACTTTAAAACCAGGATCTTAAAACTAAACCGGTTTAGAACAACTTCTCTATACTTAGGCCTACGTTTTTTAATTGGAGGGTAACCATTGATTTTCCTTTCCTTTTTATTTTTATTCCAAAGGTAAAGTAAACAGAAGTGCCAAAAGTTGCTGGGTCAACATTCAGAATATTGGTTACGTTGAAAGCAACTTTTTTTACTCTTTATGTCCAATGATTTCCAAATCAGCAGCTTCCTAGTGTATGTATGTGGAGTTTGATTGAATTCCCACTGTAATCATCAACAGTTTTAATGGATATAAAGCTCATATTTGTATCCTGACTACAGTGATCCTTTCTCCCTATCATTCTCTCTAAATGTAGGCTATGTATAATGTTTCTCACTGTAAATCTTAGCTTTTTTTGGCCAAAACAGAGAGGTCACATTACATAACTTGTTCTTTGTGGCTCAGCCGGGTAAACCAAGATGTTTCAAGATAAAACACCATGTGTTAGTATTACTCAGGACCTTCATACACATGCAATGAGGCCTGTTAAATGGGACGAATTAGCCTTATTAGTAGGTCAAGAGCTTCTGTTTGCTAAATATTTAAGGTTGTACATATGTGCTTGGCTTATTATAGGCAGGTGAATGAGTCATTTAGTTAATGACTTGGATGTGGGCTACATCCCCCTGTAATAACAACAGCCCTTGGTCCCTATTCTTAAGTCAAGTGTTCTGTACTTAGGAACAATTTCAGGCAATTTCCTGGCTTAACATCTAAACTGGTCTTTTTAGAGGTCTATGATTACTTCAAGTTAATTGTATCTATATAGTCAACTATGGTGTGTGGCGGTGGATATAGTGCTTACATTTAATTACTTTCACTATGCAGAAGCATTCAAATCTCTTTGTTACAAAAGCAAGAGTTTACTTTATTAAAATGTTTTGATGCCTGATTTCTACCATCCATTTTTCAATCCACTTGACTTGTCACTGGTCAGTGATTTCTACTTGTAATGTTCTATAATTTTTAAGAAAGTAAGAGATGAACAGTGTAGGCCTAGTAGATTTACAATATTGACCCTAACATCAAATAGTTATTGGCTATTTGCATTTCAGTTTGTTTGATCTCAAAGCCAGAGGGTAAAGGCCGTGTCAGAGAATGAGATATGATATATGATATGAAAAATGTTTATATTGATGTCATGTGTAGAGAAGGAATTCAGCAATTGTTTACTGTAATTGAACAAAAATTACTGTTCCGTACATTTAAAAAAACTGTTTGTCATTAAATCCATGGCCAGATCAATATTTCACCTTAAAAAAAATAAAAAAAATTAACATTCTTTAATGGTCTATTATTTTCTTCCTCATTGTTAGAAGAAAAATCTTTCTCGTTACTGTCACGGGTGTGGTGCAGGCAGATGAACAGGCTGAAGTCAAAGATCCAATTTCAATAAACTTTACTTACAATATAACAAATAATCAAACTGGTACAGGCAGGCAAAGAACACAAACACCAGGTAACATTTACAACGACCGACAAGGACAGACTGAACAGAAGCAAACTAAATACAAGCATGAATCAAACATAACAAGGTGAAAACAGGTGACACTGATGATGATAACGAGGGACAGGCTGGTAAGTGAGGGAGTGAATACAGGTGTGGAGAAGAGGAGGATTCTGGGAAGTGTAGTGCAGACACAAAGACAGACTGGTGCAGACGAGGACTGTAAAGGCTAGACTCATTTGGACAAACGTGACTCTACTAGGGCTGCACGATATTGGAAAAAAATGACATTGCAATATTTTTTTTCTGCAATAGTGATTTGAAAACAATTTCACCAGATTAATTGAATAGCTCTTTTTAAAATCAAACTAATTATTTGTAATTAATTTAAGCTCTAGATTGATTGAGGTGATTTTGTAGGGGAGTGAATCTGTATAGAAAATAATAAACAAATTACAAGCATAGACAAACACAATAGAACAAAGTCACAAATGAAATAAACAGTGCTTTATGTTTTTCAGGTTAGTCTAACAGTATTCAGGTACAGAAATTGAATAATCATATTTCCAGTGGTGGAGGAAGTACTGAATCTCAGTACTTAAGTAAAAGTACAAATAACCAGAGACATATTTACTTTAGTAAAAGTAGAAGTACCACAATGACAACCCTACTTAAGTAAAAAGTACCTGATTTTAAATGTACTTTAAGTATTAAAAGTAAAAGTACTTGCATAACAATTTATTCTCTTAATGTCTATATTCTAATGATTAATAAAACAGTTAATTCTAACTCATTCAACCTAATACTCATATAATGATGTTCAATATGATGGAAAAGCAGTTATATTTTAAGTTTTTGTTACCATCTCTGAACAAGCTTGCAATTAGGCAATATACACATCAAGCTTACTATATACCCTTACTATATACGGTATATATATATATATATATATATATATAAACACACATATTATGTTAAAACGCCGTATGACGGCGTTTGGCTGTAAACGCGATTCATTTATGGCGTAATTCTGAACCTCATGGCTTGCCATACTAATTCTAACCAAATGTATAATACACACGCACCCCACACCACTACTAAACCTACCAATGCGTTTCCTATGCATGTAAAAACTAATTTTCGCGTATAAATTGCACTATAAACACACTGCGTGCTATAGAGACGCATTTAGTGTGACCGGGTTGATATATCTATGGCAACCAAACTTCACTGGTGAGACAGAAACGTGCGATGAACGGACGGTCAGGATGACGTTTTGGCAGAGGAAAAACTGATCAGAAAATGTAACGAAAATGTAACAGAACGTTGTAGAAATGTAGTGGAGTAGAAAGTATAATAATTGCTGCAAAATGTAACGAAGTAAAAGTAAAAAGTATGCACTATTGATTCTACTTAAGTAAAGTACAGATACGTGAAAAATTTACTTAAGTAAAGTAACGAAGTATTTGTACTTCGTTACATTCCACCACTGCATTTTTCAAATAACACTGCATAGTCCTTACTGTATAAATTAAATATAATTAATCTTTGTTAAAGCTACTAAAGTGATTTTCTCTTTGTATGTTGTAGTTTGATAAGCATTAATGACAGACAGCAGTGGGTATATTAGGCTGCTGTCACTTTAATGCACAGATCCAATATAATGATACACATCCATTTTCTTTCTCAACTTTTTACGTTCACGTTAAAACGTAAGCAACTGTGTTTACTAGGACACTCACGAGACGGGCAGTTTGTCATAATGTTGCGTCGATGTGTCCGTTCAAGCACAAAAGAAAAAACTCCACAAAAAACTCCAAAAATGTACCTATACCTCAACACTAGAGGCAGTAAAACACCAACAGCATTTATTCCTTTTCACACAAATTATTAGGGATGCACAAAATATCGGCCGCCTTATCGGTATCGGACGATTTTTTTTTTTTAATGTTATCGTTATCGGCCCGAAAAGAAAATGTGGCTGATATATTAAAGCCAATAAATTATAGATTATGTCCTTCAGCTGAAACACTTCAGATGCGCACTGTTCAACATGATGGCTTTGAATTGCTTGAAATATGATTGGAGTCACTTTATTGGAGTTTATGTATTAAAGTGCAACAAGTCTGTCATATAGACTACATAAAATTATTATGAGAACATTAAAATTGTATGCTTGGGACATGGATTTTAATGGTGAGACTTGTGTTTTTGTAATCATGTTCTAAAAATTTTGGATTTGCATTTATCGGCCAATATCGGGTATCGGTTTTCAAAATAAAGAATTATCGGTTATCGGTATCAGCCAAAATGTTCAAATCAGTGCATTCCTATAAATTATGATTACAGGGACAGATTTTTTTATTAAGAAGGACTTATTTTTGCTCAGTTCCTTGCACAATACTATGGTAAAACCTCCAAACACTTTTACCATAGTGCATGATTTGTAAACTAATACATTTGGACATTTTCATCACATAGCCAGCTCTATATTAATGGCTTTTCTGATGTAGTAAACATGCTCAGTAGCTCATCTGGTCCAGCATTGCCCTTGTGTGAAATACAATTAAAGAGCTATCAAAGACTTCTAGACTCAAGTTCAAATGGCATGATTGCTTCAGCAAATGTGTTTTTATCTCACGTTTGCTTTTCTTAACACTATCGGTTATGTTTTGGGTAGGGTTTAGTGTAGGTGGTACTAGGGCTGTGCGACATTGAAGAAAAATTATATATGCAACAACTCGTTAAATAATTTGATATGATAATGGTTCAAGTGTGTAAAATCAATTTAAATGATATTTAAACATATAAACACTGAAAATGATATAACCAACATAAATGTTTCATGTTCTTTCTGTGATAAGAAAGCATCCTTAGAACTTCTGAAAGTGAACAGGAGTGTTTTACTGTAGCATTACATAAAAAGTGTCATTTCAAAGTCAATAAACCAGGGTTTTCAAGACGTTTTTGGACGTCTTGATCTCAAAGTTGTTCAGATGCGTTTAATAAGGGACACCTTCAAAATGTGAAGTGCTTGTATAAAACCCCCTACCAGTTTGATAACCCCGAAAGTCAAATAAATAAATACTACCAAGTCTTTGCTCAGCTTGGTAATATGTATCTACCTGAAAACTTAACATCAAGAACATCCAGGTAAACAAAAACACCTCAAACTAAGGGTGGATGAATCTTTTTGTTACTGTACTTACTGTTTATTATTGAAAATTGGAACAAAGGTGCAAATTACAAACAATAGGACAAATACAATAAAAAAGTTTTTTAGGTAGGCCTACATAAGGTTTATTTTAAAGTTGCACTAACAACAAATTATTAATCAAATGTAAAAATCAAACACTGCATAGTCTTCACTCTATGAATTAAATATACATGAACTCTTATTAAAGATACAAAAGTTATTGAGTCGAGAGCAGTGAGTGATTTATTGTTGGGTATTTTCAGTGTGGATAACATCACTTATTAAAATGGGCCCTAGTGTCTTTTGTCGCATCGCGTTGCACCGCTCTTGTAGACACTGTGTGTTATTGTGTTAAAATGATTCAGTTATCACAAGCCATTGTAATATAGACATCGCAATATGTACATTTGCTATATTTTGATATTTCCGATATATCCTGCTGTCCTATAGTGGTATCTTATTTTTAAACTCAATATAGCATTAACCTTTAAGCGCTATATTCACCTAATATTTAATTTCCGAACTGCCATGATACGTACAACAGCCAATGTAATTTTCCATTGAGTTCAACTGTGTAGTTGTGTGTTCATGTCATGATGCTAACATTCCTGTAGCTCAGTAGAGTACGGTGCCTGCAACACCAAGATCATGGGTTTGATTGAATTTTATTAATGCTGATTTTAATAATTAAAAAAACAGGTTGCTGTATTAAGTTGTAGTGATGAGAATGAGTTTTCTTCTTGCATTACAGTAATACGACTGTTACAGTAAAAAGACTGAAGTTATTTTCAATCACAAATGTGTTTCTATGTCTTAGGCACACCGTTTTCAACTAAAAACATAAAGCGTTTTGGCCGTTCGTTTACTTTTGCTCATTGAAACCTTTTTGAACTCTTCTTCATCTTCATAACAAAGACAGACATAAGATTGGGATTTTGTTAAATGTTCATGTGTTCAATGAGAATTTAGGGGGAAATGTTTCTTTATGCAAAATATTATTTCTTTTTTCCTTTCAAATTGTGGGGTGAAATGAATCAGAATTTCCTTTGTGAGATTTACGCAAAGCATAATGCCCCTGAATGTTGACAGACAAGGTCTTACAGTAAATATGGAATTGCCTCATAAGCATGAATGCATCACATTGAATAGTCACCATATCGCACACTAGTCCACTGAGCAATTGATCATCTGTCATTGGTGTAGTTGTTGGCTTTGTTTTATTGATGGTTTCCAGTGAGTCAGTAATGGTACCCTTGTCTGCAGGCATTGCAGTGTTTGCCCTGGGTGTGGTACTTCCTTAACCTTTCTTCTGTTTGGCTTTTGTTAGATAACACCTGCGAGTAAAGCAGCGCTGAGCGACTTGTGCCCTGGAGACACCATCCTAACCATCAATGGAGAAAGTACAGAGACCATGACACACATGGAGGCTCAGAACCGCATTAAAGCCTGCACAGATCAGCTTGTGTTGGCCATCAGCAGGTACTGCCTTATAAGCCTGTATATCTGCCTTACTATCCTTACATCCAGGTGCTGCTTGTTTTCACAAAGATATAAGATGACATGCACACAGGGCCGTCGCTAGTGGGGTGAAAGGTGGTGACAATTATAGGGGGCCCCACAAAATCCAGCAGTTATACTATTTAGGCCCCTGTAGTATGAATAATTCTAATATTTATATTAGTTGTATGCCTGAGATTTAAATGAAAACCACAAAAACGTGCAATTTGGGTAAATATTTTTCCAAATATCTGCTTCTCTTACCTCCATAAAAATGGTTTAGTCCGACCTAAAGTATTTATTAATTATTCAGTCAGAGTCAGTGACAAACATCAGATGGACCCAATACAATTGTAAGTCCCGCCCCAGCTCGTGAACAGAACCAATCAGAGTTGAGGCGGCAGCCTGAAGTTAACGATGAACTTGGTGGAAGAGCAGGAGACTGACTGACTGAAAAATGTCGGGGAAAAGAAAACATAAATCAGGGAACCAGAAATGCCAGGAAAAGACGGAGAGGGAGGCAAGGAGAGTGGTTGTATCCCAGTCGACCAAGACGTTCTTAAAGACCGGTTATATATTGTTATTTCGCTGGGAATTAGAAAACTTCCGTCTACAGTCTGCCGTGTACAGTCATTTTTTATTATCGGTGCGCGCCGCAATCGACCGAATGATTACGTGGTCTAAATTCCTGTCTTTTTACAGTATTGTAACTAGAGTTTTAAAAAAAAATACACGAGTCACGACGCATTGCATTATGCATCTGACCTGCCGGCTGATGATATTTAAAACATCGAGAATACACGAATACAACACACTGCACTTGGATGAATAAATGTATTCGCTTTATTTAATAATATTACCAGTTCCATATTATCTTTATTAAAAAATAAGACAATGAATGGTTTTATTTTTTTAATTAGACTGCATTCTTGCCAATTTCTAAATGTTTACTTTTTGATTTATGAATTATAACAGACTGATGGAGGGAAAAAATTATTACTTTTTAAAAATTGGTTTTATTATTATTTAACAATTTCTTGCTTTTTTGTTAGTTTTTATTAGTTGTAATTTTTATATAAACATTTAACTTTTAAAATAAAGGTTTTACAACAACATCACCATCTTCTGTTATGTGGGCCTCCATGTTCATCTATTGTACAGTATATGATATTGGTGGAGGGTGGTGGGGGCCCACATCAATATTTTTTCAGGGGGCCCCGAATCCTCTAGCTACGGCCCTGAATGCACATCTGTTTGACTTAGAGTTTTGTCTTTGAACTTCCCATTTTTCCCCTCTTTATATTTCTATGCAACACTGTAGATTTCTACCATCAGGCTCTCAAAAAAAAAAAAAAAATTGGATTTAGATATATCGGCGAATATATTGGCCATTAGCTTTCAAGAGTTATCGGTTATCGGTATCGGCCAAAATGTTCATATCGGTGCATCCCCAATAAAAAGAACCGCTCGTTTTAAAATCTTCCCGGTCTACTGACATTTGTTCTGACATCTGCTTAAAACATTACAATGCTCATGATAACTTTCATTAACTACAATAAGTAAATCCACTTCACCACGACATTGCGTCGTTGTCGAGGAGTAATTAGCTGGTGAAGTGGATTTACTTATGTAGAGTTTACGAAAGTTATCATGAGCATTGTAATGTTTTAAGCGGATGTCAGAACAAATGTCAGTAGACCGGGAAGATTATAAAACGAGCGGTTCATTCTAGTAGGGATGCACCGAAATGAACATTTTTGCCGATACCGATAACTCTTTATATTTGAAAGCCGATAACCGATATATTGGTCGATAAATCTAAATCCATATTTTTAGATAATTTTGAGAGCCTGATTACAAAAACAAACATCTCAGCATTAAATGCCATGCCCCAAACACACAATTATAATGATGTTCTCATTATAACTTTATGTAGCCGATATGTACTGCACTGAACTGTATTTTCCTTCTTGAAGCGATTCCAATCATATTTCAGCAAATTCAAAGCCATCATGTTGAACAGTGAGCATCTGAAGTGTCTCAGCTGGAGGACATAATACATTACTCATCGGCTTTAAAATATCAGCCAAATTTTCTTATTGGGCCGATAACGATGACAGTAAAAATGAACATATATCAACCGATACCGATATGGCGGCCGATATATTGTGCATCCCTAGTTCATTCATAAATCAATAAGATATATAAATCAGAAGACTCAACACAACAAGCGCAGCGCTTAAAAGGTCTACATACGTTCTATAGAAAGTGTCAGTGTTTTGAGACTTGCGCTTAGGACTGCACATGCGCATTGGAGAATCTAGCCTGATAATTAATCTACTTTAACGCTATTTGAGAACAAGTATCTACATTTATGATACAGTTCATGTCCGATTTAGTATAGCAAGTAGTTTTTGAAACTTCAGGATTCCCCTATTTAAGTAGATAAGACTTTTTTTTTTTTTTTGGAAGGGACTTTGTTGTTAGTCAATTCTGTGTTGACAGAACAGAAACAAACTGTGCTCAACCATATAAAACTTTGAACAGAATTTTCCCCAAAACTTTAAGCTGTCACCGTACCAGGCCACACCATCGAAATGACAATATGATAAAAGATAATCCTTTTCACACACTAAATTTTAGTGTGAGAGTGTGAGATTCACCGAGAGGCATCATATGCTACATCTTGCCATATTTGGTATGTGTTCTCTGAGCAAGCAGCGCGTGTTATTTGGAAAAGCCCTGACCTCTTGGAAGACCTGCTCATATATCATCTTTCGACATTAAGTGGTACATTCACATAGGAGTAGTAAATTTATTTAAGGATACTCTGGGTTGTATATACTGAGCATTCGACTGGGAACGTTTTCCTCCGATTACATTTCAAAACTGTTTTTTGCAGCAGCAAATTTTCATTACTAGAGTAACTTTAACTAGATTTTTACTAGATTTACTAGACAACTAGTTGTTTGCCTGTGCAAAACTTCCCAGCACAACACTAGGATTGCTAGGTGTTTGCTAATGTCTTATTATTTTTATGCATCGATGCAGGATCGTTCACATCAGCATCGCAAAAAACATTATATTCCATCATCTAGTGGGTTGGGGATTTATTCAGTTCCGTAACCACAAGTATGAGCAATAGTAATAGTGATGCTTGCCTTGCCAAACACCACTAATTATTATTGATCTAGGTAGTCTGTGCCATTTGGAAATTGAACTCTAAACAGTCTTAGAGAGTAAACAGAATTTCACGTTTTGTCAACATTAGCCTTTTTGCATGGCCTGCATAGATTGCTCTGTGAAGGTCATGTGACACCATTGTAAATGCAAAAGCATGGCCCCCTGTATCTATTGGTATGTGACCTTTAGCATATGCCAATGACTCATTTGTATTTGTCTGCGCTCTTGCTGGCACGATAAGTACCGCTTGTTTCCAGCGTGCACGATGTGCTCGAGCAGATCACAGGCTGCAGCTTCTGTTTTCCGTGTGCTTGGATGGAAATGCAATTACATGGGACACGGCACCCAGAATCATCCTGAATCATATTCTCCTTGAGACCGTAGAGATGTGAAAACATAAATGACTAAAAACCCAACCACTGTTTATCTTGTTTATTTAGCATAAAAAAATAAAGGAATTTAAATGTTATTAGCTCCTGTTTCAGATTAGAGATTAGAGATGATGAACTGAAAAAATGCATGACAAATTATGAATTTACCTAAATTGGTTTAACCAAAAAAAATCCTGCTTCTTAAAAAAAAAAAAAAAAAAAACTTTAATAACTAAATAATTGTCAGTTTAGATGTGAGACATGTGAGAGAACACATTAGGCTACTTAAGCAAATAAAAATAATGTCTGCTCTGCGCACAGAAATTAAAGCAATAATTGTGCCTGATGAAGACCTGACTGGTCAAAACGCTGCGCTGTTTATAAACACATTTTTCGAGCTGTAATTTCAGTGTGCAGACATTTATTTATTTATTTTTCATTTATTGTTATCTACACCAGCTAAACACCAGCGGTTTCAAACCGTGTTTTTGAGACTGTCTTTGGTTCACTGCAGTTTTACTCAGCAATGCTGTCGACTTATGAATTTGCACATGGTTTGTCTTAAAGCGTATTAAAAACACCACATAGACACATAAACAACATTAAAACCTTGATTTTCACCACTGGGCGACTTTAAACATCATATTTTCTCACATCAGGCCCAAAGAGAGAGCACCATTGATTTGCCCCCAAACCCTCATGTGTTATTATTATGACATTTCATTCTGAATTTCAGTCTTTCTCTTCAGGAAAATGGACCAAAAATATGAATTGCAAAACCTTGTTTTCTTTAGAGCAGTGTTTCCCAACCCTGGTCCTAGAGATCCCCCAACACGGCACATTTGTATCTGGTCACCGTGATTTTGTCACCAAGAAAGACATATTTTGTTGATCCTGGAACAACATTCATGTCCAAAAGTTTTTTCCTAAACAGCCCCACCCCTACACCAAACCCTCCCCATAAGCTATCATTAAAATCAGTGGGAAATTATATGTGAATAGGCTAGCAATGATGTAGAAGCACCATGGCCATAAGCCTAAATTTGATTTGTCTCTCAAATCTGATTGGTTGAATGTATTGTTGATGTTGATCCAGGAACATGTTGTACTTGGTGAAATCACGTTCACCCACACCTACCTGAGGTCTCGGAGTCTTCATGAGCTGACGAGATGAATTGGGTGTGTTTGATTAGGAAGACATCTAAAACATGCAGTTCTGGGAGTCCTCCAGGACCAGTGGAACCAGTGCTGTAGATTTAAAATGCATCCATAGGAATAGCAAGCAAATCAAAGTTCATGGCTGTAATGTAGACTAAAGCCTTTTGGTGGCTAGTTCCCGCCTCCTCCTTCCCTTCGTTACAGTGCGTCACAGCCTTAAAGGATAACTTCACCGATTTTCAGCCACCTTTGTATTGTTACAATGTGAGC